AGGATAAATTGAAGAACATTGTTGACATTCACAGACTCACACTGACAGAAAACAAGGACAAAAGGGGAACCAGGACCCTCTAATTATTTCTATTTTTCCTACGAGCCATGGAAAAAAGTACCAAGAAAGAACTTTTGGCAAAGTATACACTTTAATTCAATGACAAGCCAGTGCAGTTAAGAGGTTAATTCAGGAAATGTAATCCTGACGCCATCTAATCTTCCAAGCAGCAGAGACCTCCCTGAACATGCAGGAGCATCACTCACTTTTCTGAATGGATATGCATCCATGTCTTCTGCGTAACATCATTTGGCACTTAGTACAATCCTGAAGGAGCCACGTCTGATAGATGTACGCAATGTTTCTGTCAGTAAAAATCAGTTAATGACTAGAGATATCAATCAGAATGTGCAATATGGGGGTTCCAAAAGCTCCTATTTTTATGTGAATCCATTTAGATTACACTTATTCAGATGAATAGAGTATGCTATGACTCAGGTTATTCCTCCAAATGAAGCTAAAGTCCTAGAAGAAGACAATTGCTAATCCACAAAGATGAAGGGGATCTTGGTCCGTTTTGGATGCTGGTTGGGAGATGAAGGACTCTTTTTATGCTGGTTTTAATTCTCACTGGGTTAAAACCAGAAGTAGTCCAAAAATCAAGTACCAGAAACTCTTGATCTCCCTTTCTAGCCATGTGCAGGAATTATAACACAAGAACTAAATGTATCTTCTCCTTAAGGAAGGAGAATGGCGAAACACATTTTGGAGATTAGAAGATTTATTTCTTAGCACACCAACTTTTATGAATCCAGGTTAAGAGCCAGATTTTACCCTGTGTTTCACTTGAATTCCTTCCTGGGGCAAGTGCCCCTTAGGCATTGCAGCATCAGCTGTCAAAACATTTAAGTACTTCTGTTTAATGCTGTTTTCGCACCAAAGGGGCTGCTCTGTCAGAAATACCCGAGTGAAGAGGCTGGAGGTCTCTGGAGTCTGGCCAAGTTTTGCACAAAGATAAAGAACAGCAAGTCTGCACAGATGGTTTATCATAGTA